GTGTGTGTGTATCTATCTATCCATCTATATCGATCTATCTATCTGTGTGTGTATGTGTTTGTTTTGTTAATATTATTTATTATTGTCATTTAATATTTTAGGAAATTGAATGATTATGTATTCTTTCTATCTGTCTGTCTGTCTGTCTGTAACAAATATATTACTTTCAATTTTAACTTCAGTATTTATTTTTTACTAGACCTTCATGTCGTGGGTATTTTGTGGCATAATTACAATCTTTAAAAAAATATATCTTAAAAAAATATATATTTTTAAAATAATTTCTTGAATGACTGTTAAATTACTTAACAGTTTTGCAGTATTAGTTCAAAGACAATTAAAACATTAACAGGTTGTGTTGGCTTTCTGTCAGGTTGGGCCGGCTAACATTCATGCACATTGAGAATGGACTGATGACTGGCATTGCAGTTTCTCCCATTCATTCGTCTCCTCTTTATACTGTCTCTGAACACTCTCAAACAGTATATCAGCAGCTTTATGTGATGTAAGACTGATGCAGACTGTGATATGTGCATGAATAAAGCATGTCAGTGCTGTATAAATGTGAGCATGCATCTATTGGTTATGAAATGCCTTTATCAGCGGCGTTCCTGATGCTGACAGTGGAAAAATGGAACATCAGTTATGTGTTTCTATTAAATGGAGCCCAAAAGGCCTCGGGTTACTGTTGTTGGTACATCTCAATCTATTTTGACAGTCTTGTCTATTGGCATGTGTATATCTGAGCTAATGCGTGCATGAGCGAGTGTGTGTGCCAACTCCAGCGATCACGTGCAGGCCATCTGTGAGCATGCGAGCCAAGAAGATGTAATGGGTCCTGCTGTCAGGCCGGTAGCCCTCAGGTTATCTGTCACTCACGGAGATATGAATTAGCTTTGACTCCATCAGGATTCAGCTTTCCCCCTCATCCTGTAAACACAGCCGGAGGTTCACTGACCCAAAGCTCAAAACACAGCCCATATGCCCTGCCCAAACCCACCGTCCCGATACAGACTGCATTCATGTAAACAGCTCTGGAAAGCCTGTAAAGTCTAAAAGGAAGTTACGATGTGACCGCACATTTCCGTATGGATTTATGAGCATGCAGTGATTGTCAAGATTTATTTATTTTTTCCCCAGTAATGAGAATCATGGTCTGGAACAGCATGTAAAAACAACACTGAAATTGAACAATGAAACTGCTAATAATAAAAAGTTAGAGTATAGTTATCAATTTATCACTTTTTTTTTAATCTTACAAAACATTTAAACATTGGAACGTAAATGTTCCTTAAATACTGTATTGTGAATACTGTATGTATCTTTAATTACATGTTGTCATATGAATAATCAGTCAGTAAACTGACAGTCAGTGTGTTCCCATTTGCACTAGAAAGCAAAAAAAAGAAGAAAAAACACAATAGAATTTCTATGAATGTTTAATAAATTAATGAATAAAATACAAAATAAATTAATGAAAATAAATATTGAGAGATTTAACACTAACTATACACTCTAAAAAAATGCTGGGTTGTTTCAACCCAACTTTGGGTCAAATATGGACTAACCCAACTTTTGGGTTAAAAATATAATTGAAAAATTTAACCCAACAGTTGGGTTAGTCCATATTTGACCCAATGTTGGGTTGAAACAACCCAGCATTTTTTAGAGTGAGAGTTTTACATGTATATTCATTTTTCTTAAATGCAAATACTGTATATAAAAAAAACTTTGCCAGATTTACAATGTTAATATTAGCTATGGAACTGCGTCATCACAGTCTACGAAAACAGTCTGTTACCAATCAAACATAATCTAAATATGACTCGTGATTTAGTGACTGAGTTAGAAACGGCTCTGACTGAGTTAAAAATAATCATACTTTTACAAATCAGATATTACGGCTTGTGCTGTGATTTAAATGCTGGCGCATGCTCTAACGAGATGATGTTTGAAGAAACCAATATAGATTGTGGCAAAATCGTATCTATTTGTTTTTATCAAATTTGGGAGCATTTAGTTGCAGTCTTATGCCATGTCAAATTATGCTAATATTTAATAAAGAATACTAATAATACATTTTAAGGACATCTGATGTGTAAGATTATCCAGAGACATACTCTGCAAGCATAGTGTTTTGATAAAAATTCGCAAACTAATTCATAAATAATTGGCGTCCCAGGTTAAACGACGTGCTCACTTTTTAACCCATCTCTTAGAGTAGAAAACTGTGGAAATGTTCCAACACAAGTCATTTCATTCCGGGGTCCCCCATTATTTTGCTGTTCATTTGACATGTGACACTTAACGACTCTCTGACATTTTTACCCACAAATTTGAGTTTATTTTCAGTCCAGTTAGTGCGCTTAAAATGCTTTATTTCTGTGTGGTTTAAAATCAGTGTCTGGATGCACACGGCCCTTTTCCACCGCTGTGACTTAATTAGGCAGAGGACTGACACTTCTCAAGTGGCTGTCTGACAAGATGATCCACACGGGCCCGGAGAAGACGGTACAAGCACATTTGCTGGATTAGGCATTCAGGGGTAAGCTCTGTCTATGTAGATGTGTTTTGCAAAAAATCTTCCTTCTAAATGACTAAGACTTTGAAATGACAGAGAATGCAGGGGTCCAAAAACATTCAGTGATGTGGAAGTCGATAACCAGGGGTGTGTCTCAATACGCTCACTAGTTTAGTAGCAAGTACTCACTTATGCAGTACAGGACCAGAAATGTTGTTTTCTTACTGCAAGTCGTCTATAATGATCAAATTTACGTTCGTGATATACAGATTTACATTATGGAGAAGTAGGGAGTGAAATGAGACACATCCCAGATCTTAAAAAAGGCCTTTGGTAATTGCCCAGCAATATTTATTAGGACAGTAATGTAATAATCAGCATAATCGCTTGTTCATTTACTCTCATCCTATTGTTCTTTTAGCATGCGGTGATGCTTTTATTTTTTTTCCACTGCCATCCCGTATAAACATAAGAGACACAGTTAATTAATTGCGGGGTTGTTTAAACCCCTGATTGTGTATCCGATTGGCGCTCGCCTTTAATGTGGCAATAAATCTCAAATGACTTTGAATTATTGTTCTGAATTAATATTAGAAACAGCTAATTTCCTCCCCCTGATTACAATGACGAAAAGGATCCAGGCCCTTAATGTGAATCTCTGACATTGAGCGGCTACCTCGAAAACCATTTCAAATGCTCCCCGTCACACGTGCCCATCCAGTGGCAGGGTCGTTTCAAATTTCGCCATTAACCGCAAAGGCTAAATGACTCAATTGTGAGTTACCGCAGCCATGGCACGCTTTCATTTGACGAGACACTTCAGAGGTACACTCTCAATTTTAATTAAGAAACACAAATGACCGGAATACTGCGTTCCTTTTGTCATATTGTTCAGCCTATCTTAAATCATCCTCGGGCTTCCATTTAAAGGAAGTTGGTATTCTGAAGCATAATGGCTCAACGGAGGGAATCAGGAATCCATCGGTGAGGCAAGGCGCTAAATAATTTATGGCTTTAATCTGTGCACTGAGGTGTGAGCTCTATGGCTGTAATTATAAATGCAAGGAGGAATTATTGCGGAATACTTTAACTGCATTAGGAGTCATCTGATGAGCTATCGTGATTGCTTGCTCATTTCCAACAATGGAGGGCACGCCGGTGTCAGGATGCGCAAATCACCTGGTGCTTTTTCCCATTTACTATCAAATGTCACTTTCCTGTTATAAAACAGATACGATGGGGAGTGGTAATTGGTGGCTTGATTGCTAAAAAAAGGAAGGAAATCGCATTAAATGTTGCAAGTTCAGAGGGTAATTATAATTTTTCATATTTGGAAGCTGAGGTGTATCATAAGCGATTCTTGATAGCCGAGTGACATCATCAGGGTTAAATGTTATAGGTGAGAATGGGGCTAGTTGTCTTATTACGCCAATGAATATTTCACGATTTATGTAGTCTTGGCTACAAAAACAATGAAAACTGAATAATTTCACCCTTTCCCAGAAAAAACAAACAAACAACATTTCATTAAGAACACTGTTTGTTGTGTGGGGTCCAATCTGACATTGAACAGCCTTTTATTAACAATAAAACTATATTTAAAAAAATCACGAAAGAGCAAAAATGTAAATAGCACATACTGTACTTAATAAGTCGTGTAAATTTATAACACATGTGACAACCTGCCCCGACCTGACATTTTTTGAAAAAATGTCTTGAAAACAGTTCAACCATTGGTAGAAAGCTACCTGGTTTTATTGTTCACTTCTTAAAAAAAAAAAAATTCTAGAAAGAAGGAACCTACTGAAAGAAAAAAAATTCAAAACAATGATTCTGCTTTGTTCCAGTCAATAATAATGGATTTGAAGTGAAGACTTGTAGACAGTTAGAAAAATGTTAATGCTTTATTTGTATTGGTATAAAAGGTGCAGTGTTCTTTTGTCTCACTAAGCATTTTCTGATGAGACACTTTTTCTACGATGCTAAATATACATTAATGTGAGACTTCCTCGTGTCAAACCTGTCCAAATCTGTAAGCCCACACACTGAATCTGCGCCTAAATGTGATTAAACTTTTATTAAAGTGCTTTTCTGTTCTATCGTTGCGACACAAACATTTTACAGAGCAAATATACTGTACATTTCAGTAAATGTTTTTAATGTGTGTCTGGCTACCTGTCTGAGCACCTGTGTGTTCACACAAGTGCATGATCAGATCTGCAAATTACAGTTAATGCATCGATCAATTTGTTGTTAAACGTAATACAGTTAAAACTTGCCATATCATACAAATAAATAGTAGTCATAGCCAGAGCTATTGCATGCAAACATCAGCATTTATGTCTCAAGCAGTAATACATTTCATTACTGGTGGTGCATTTGAACAGGGTGCAAAGACTTACGTCAATGTATTCTTAATCTTTTTATGATCATTTATTTTCTAACAGTACACTTCATTCTAACCCAGCCAGTGTGTCCATTTAGTCCTCATTATGATGAAATGTTGACTCTGAAGTTGAAGTTTAAGCATTCTACGTAATGCTACTTGAAACATTATGGAAAAATTGGACCAAAAAAAAAAAAACTAAGTAGACAATTTGACCCGTGTTTTATAAAAGCAGAGCAATTACAGTTATTTACCAACAAGATAACTACAAGTAGTAAAAATCAACAAAGCTACTCTTTGTCCATTTCCACAAACTGTGAATGATTCTCGGGGGATTTACTGTGAGTTTTACTCAAGTGAAGTTTGACCGCGTGATTGCTGGCAAATGTCCGACTGCAAAGCTTGCATTTGAACTTTGAGTCAGATTCCTCCTCTGTGATCTGCGAATCCGTCAGCCGGACATTGAGCGCCTTTGAAAGTTCGGGCTCTGTTACTTTAGTCGGATGTTCTATGGTTAGATTGTTCATGTCCTTAATTTGGAAACCCAGGTGGTTCTCCAGGTGGGATATAAACGCAGAGGGCGTTCTGAATTGCGATGCACAGTCATTGCAGTAGAAGACCGGATAACCAGTGTCCATGTTCTTCAAAAACTTGGTCCCTCCCGTTTTCCTAAGCTGGTACTTGACGTTGGCGAGCCAGTGGCTGATGGTGGTCATGGAAAGCCCGGTGAACTTGGAGATGTGCATCCTCTCCTGAGGCCCGAGGTCTGAGAGGAGATACTTGCCCTCCGAAGTCTGAAAAAGGCTGGAGGCGAACTGGGATTGAAGGATGAGCAGATGCTGGGGGTTCCAGTTGGACTGTCTGCCTTTACGCTTGTGAACCGAGTACATTTCGCTGGAGACGTCTTCGAATCGTCGCACGTCGGTCTCCAGCTTCATGGCAGGCACTCTCGCTGGCATTGAGGGCTTTGGGGTTGTGGCTTTTGGAAGAACCTTCACCATGTCAGCAATGTCAGACAGCGCATGTTTCTGGGGCACGGGAGTGGAGGACTGCAATAAGAGGGAAGCGTTTGGTTTGTTGTGTTTTGTCAAGTCTATTGGCTGGTCGTCATTTGTGTACATGAAGCTATTGCCGGGCCTGATGGCAGCAGATGCTGAGAGTGCTGAAACTGGTTTCTCTAAACCTCTATTCAGTTCTGAAAAGATGGATTGTGTGCGATGGGAGAGGATGCTTTCGGGCCTGGGCTTGTTTGCTTTACCCAAATGATTGTTCAAGACAGACTGTAGTGCGCTTAGAGGGCTTATGCTAAAGACTTCCTGGGAGTCGCTGACAAGCTCTGAAGAACTGCTGTGCCCGTTGCTGGCAGGGGGGCTAGGTGACGGGTTCCCTCTGTCAGAGAAAGCTGGGCTCAACTTCCCTTTGATTGTGTCATTCTCTTCACTTACACAGTCTGCATCCAGCTTTGAAGAGGAGGAGGAATCATCCTGACAATCACTGTCATCATTCTCCAACAGATCAAACCTACTGCTCTGGCTCTCTTTGCCATCAGATGCGCCTCCCCTCTCCTTTTTGATGTCCGAATTGTGATGTCCCTGGAAATTTTCAAGTCCCCGAAGTCCCTGATAGAACTTCCCCTTGGGTGCGATGGCTCTGTGCTTGTGGTTGAGATTCTGCTTGAGCTGGATGGGAGGAGAAGAGGAGAAGGAGGCAGTCTTAATCACCCCTGATAGCTGATAGGCCGCATGAATGCTGGGGTAAGCGCTCCAGCTGGGGGTCCCTGTTTGAGCTTTATTGATTGCCGAAGCCACCGTGTTTGCTAAAGACTTGAGAATGTCACCGCCTCCACTGGACCCCTGCTCAAGGTCTTCTTCTCGCAAGTACGGGTACTTGAAACCGGCGTCAGTGGACTTCCGGTCCTTCTCATTTTGTTTTTCTTCCTTGTCTCCATTCTTGTCAGCTTTGTCTGGTGACATATCCCTCGGAGTAGCCCTCTCAGAGTCACCAGATGCTGTGCTCTTCGGAGAAACTTTTTCTCCTTCAAGTTCGTTCACTGCTGGCTCAGCAAGTGTCTGCATTTTCTCTATTGCTACAGGATCGAGGGCTAGCTGTTTGCCTTTCTTGGAGGCCGAATTTGTCACTTTAATGAAGTGGCCGGTGACCATCATGTGAGTGGTGAGCTGCTGGAGCGTATCGTGGGAGCTTCCGCACTCCATGCACTTCAGGATCTGAGATTTGCATGTCTCAAACTGCCATGTGTAACTAGCACCGTTCTGATAGCCGTAGCGGTTGTTGGGAGCGTTGGCGAGGCCAGACGACCTTTGTGCCTCACTGTAACCCGAAGCTCCTGTGGTGGAGTCGGGCGAACAAGGCCTTGTGGCTTCAAATGCACGTTTTTTTGCTGGTGGGACTAATTTGGGAGTGATAACTGGAATAGGTTCTTTCAAAGGCACTTTCTGGTAATGCTTCGTTTTGATCATGTGGACACTCAGGTCTTGCAGAGAATCGAAAGAGTGGCCACAGAACATACACTTCAGCACTTTTTGTGCATCTTCTTTGCCTTCCATATCTTGAAGGTTCCTCTTGCGGTTCTTGGATGATGATGTGGAGGCGATGTTTTGTCTGTTGTGGTTGTCATCCTGGTAGTGGCCACTCTTGTTCATGTGTACCGTCAACTCCACCAGGGTGTCATACGCCGCACTGCAGTCTTTGCAGCGGAAACGGCTGGCTCCCGTAAAGACTGTGCCGCATGCTTTGCTACTTTGCCTGTACAGGTGGACAGAGCTGAATAGATTAGGCTTTGACATAGGTTTCGGGGACAGCGTTTGCTGCAGGGTTTTTGAAAGTGCGTCCTGGTGCCAGTCAAACTCGCTCTTGGTGCTCCCGTTGGTGCTGTCACAGTTTGCTTTGCTGCGAGCGTTAGCAACCTTCAAATCTAGTCCAATCTTTGACCAGTAGGAGTCTGAAAGGAAGTTGGCATAAGCAGCCCTCATTTTCTCCAGGCTACTGTGCATGTCATCCTTCAGTTTCGAGCCCTGGCTCTCTGTGTCCTTCTGACTTCCTGGTGGTGAGGTCTTAAAGTCAGACAGTCTGTCACTGCCATCGCTCAGACGGGATTCCAGCTCAACCTCCTGGTTGGAAAGGACACTGACCGGAGAGTTCTGGAAGCTGTAGCTGCTTTTGTTGTCTATGTCTTTGTCTTCTTTGTCCTTGGAAGTGGGCCTCTCAGAATTCTCATCCTCAGCCTGCATTTCATTTTCGCCCTCCTCCCCTGTGATCGACTCTTGGACACCAACATCATCATCTGGCTCGTATGCTGAAAACAGAACAAACAGAGAATGGCGTTATTAGGGCTGTCAAATGAAATGTAATCGAATTAATTACATGATACAGTGATTAATCAGATGAGTCACAAATAATCACATATATCAAAATTTTATGAGAAAAGACCTCAAATGCAGATAATTCAAAGGCTTTAGATGAATGCCCTTCAGTTTGTGCATTAGTTTGTTACATAAGCCTTTTTTAATAATTACATATAAATGTATTAAAAAACAACCCTAGTTATAACTGTACAAACAAAACAAATTTGAATGTCTTTTAGGCATATATACAATATATTTTTGAGCATCAAAGGTTTAAGGGAAAAACAAGAGAATACAAACATAAAGTTGATGTCATTTATTATTAGAAATCTTGTCTGAAGTACTGTCATCCTTCTTCAAGTGTAGCATTGTAATCCTTTCTCACAGAAGCTTGTGTGCCTGTAATCTTCTCCTTGTAATAGTGGGCAATTTGGCAGCATGTGTGATTCATAAGTCACTGACTTAGTTTTCCAAAGGTTTCATCTGTTTACACCAACAGAGTAAAAGGTGATGAGCATTATCGCAATAGTCTAGTTGTAAAACTATTTGATATGAGCCTAGTTGATTCGTACACATCTCAAAACCTAATCTAAAAGAGCCCTGTGTGCGATAAACTTGATCTGAAGATATATTTCACTTTTAAAGATTAAACGGTTAAAAAGTGGGTTCACAATGTCTGGAAAGTTTTTATTTACTGTCAATCATTCTCATTCAGAATGAGGCAAAAACATCATAAGACCGCATAAATGCAGTTAACCTAAAAATAGTTAAACACAACCTGGCATCCTTCTGATCCCTGCTGAATATTTGCTGACTACAAATTAACCACTATTGACTAGATTCAAAATAATTTCCTAAATCTTTCATCACTTCTTAAACCGTACTGTATTATTCACTTAATAAAATATATCCAAGGCTGTCAATTACATCAATCGCCGCGGTTAAGAAAAATCAAGATCATCTATATTTTATGAACACATATTTGGATAGCACTTTGAATTTCAAGTGCTATTACACACAGATGTGCTCAGTTAAATATACATAGGACCTAACAGCCCGGGCTAGGCACTTGCCTTTCATGTGGTTAATATTTTTCTGAGCTGGTGATGCTCAATGAGAGCAGCTCTCAAATAGGAGGGCTAAAAGTGCTACGTTGTGTAGCCCTCGCCATGTCCTGTGCCTTTGGATTCTGAAAATAAGACTTTTGATCAATATTTCAAAGGTGCCTCAGGAGTAAGCCTGGAGGTGAACCGATGTCAGCAAATGGATAAAGATGGAGCTGGGATTTAGCCTCTCCAAACAAACCCAAAGAATGGGGTCCCTCCAACAGGGGGTGCCCATACGAAAGCTTCCCGACGTGCCACAACCTTGATCTTCCACAATGAAGATTTCTGAAATGACTGACTCCGACGGGCAATTGCATCCCAAAATGCGCTCATGCTCTAACAGTTTCCAAGAGGAGAATCATGTTTTATGTATTGCAACAATGTGTATATATAGTTTTGACATAAAAGGAGTGAGATTGTGTGGATGGTGTCTCAACGGTTTGTAAATCACTCAACCAGTCGACTGGCAAAATGACGGACAGCAGTATTTGCTGATTTTCGATGATTTACAAGATGTGTGGGATCCAAAAATATTAAATATGGAGACTGAAATTAACCCTGTCTTCCTGTGCACTATTGCACAATCCTTGTTCTGTTATAACGAAATACATCATGGTGCAATCTGATTTCTTTTTTCTTCAGTGACTGGCATGTTTCTGCATATCTTTGAGATTTTTACGATAGTTACAATCTAAACAAGCAAAGTAACCATGACACCGTACACCTGGAGGAATCAATCAACTGCTATTTGGACTGCAGATGAAAGATAGACGGTTAAATGAAACATGCATTAGTCAACCACACTGCATTTTAGTGAACATGTAATACTCTTCAACCTAATATAAAAACAGGACAGGTCTGAGGAGTGTCTCATTCAGAGCAATTCAAATGCTTTAATGCATGTTTCCTTACTTGGACATGCTGCTAGATCCACTCAGCCTGGCAACCATGTTCTTACACTTCAAGACAATCTAAACAAAATACATGCTAATTTTACAGTATTTTGACATTAATTTTATTTTGACACACTATTGCTATGCATAAAATTACCTGACTAAGACAGTGTTGCCTATTATTTTTGTATGGCGATTCAATTAAGCAGTTTTCTTTAATTCTAGAAGGTTGGGTCATTCTGCAAAACAGGTGCCATTTGACTTCATATTCTAAATTTAAAAATGTGTCATTGCTAAGTGGATGTTTCTAGACACATCAGAATCTAATTCTTCTGCAATGCCAAATTAAACTGTAAAACAGTCAGAAATTATTCTAATATGCTGATTTGCTGCTCAGGAAACATTATTATTATTATTATTGTCAATGCTGCAAAAGTTGGTCTACTTACTATTTTTGTGTAAATCATGATACATTTAATTTTTCAGGATTCTTTGATGAATAGAAAGTTCAAAATAATTTATTTAAAAGAGAAATCTTTTGTAACATTGACTTTACTGTCACTTTTGATCAATTTAACACATCCTTGCGAAATAAAATGAATTTCTTCAATACTGAAATATATTAATTTAGTTTGATTATTATTTGTCTGCTAAAACAATTAATTGATTTCCTTTAAAAACCCTATCAAGCTGGAAAAGGCACCCATTTCATAAACTGATGTGGCTGGCATTATTGCAGTCACTGTTCCCTGGGCTCCAATTTCTCCATCGTCTGAGCATCTGGGATACACATTAATACACAATACCACAGGCACATGTTAACCTTCCAGGCCCAGATCTCTCCGAAATCCCTTCATGAATGGTTACATTTCCCTTCCTTACCCATTTGTAACAGGGAGCTTGTGTTAGCCAGCTTGTGATCCCAGCCAAGCGGCAGGATTTCGGAGAACAAGATCAAACACAAGGACACCACTCCCACAGACAAGAGATACACCAGCCTTTCCCATAATCCACTGCTAGGACACGGCCACGCTAGCAGGCCAACAGCAGTCGAATCCCACCCCCCTGTTCTGTTACAGGATGTCTGAGCCAATAGAACAACCAAAGCATAATTTGATCCCTGACGTGGGCTATTTGTATTCATTTCAGTAATATTCAATATGCATTATTTTGATTTGGTCGAACCAGTGCATACATGAATGCCTTTCGTAATCGCACGTGCATGGCACCTCATTCATTTAACCTCTCAAAGAAGCCAGGCTTGTCCACCGCAGGCCCGCGCGCCATCGTTGGGCTTTTTGCGCTATATCAGAGCAATGAAAACAGACTTCGGTCCAACTAGGCTTACAAAATAAGGCACTGGCACGCCTGTGCAGAGATTTAGCATGTCATAAACTTCTGTAAACCCTCCAATCTGTGTCACAACAAATTTATATCATCAGACAGGGATATTCAGAGGTCAAAAAACCGGTGTCCATCATAAATCAGCCACTAAGTGTTTATAACATTAATCCGTTGGGAAAGACTCCTGGCATAAGACAGCGGCAGCTGGATTTTAAAGAGCTGCCTGATTCCAAGCCAAATGGTTACAGAAGAGCGAAGAGAAACGCTAGCATTAAATGCGCTTTTCACATCTGATTCGAATATACAGTAGCGGTATTATTATGTTTTTTTCTTAAGAGTCAGTTCTTATTACTGTAAGTGTGATCAAAGGCTGGAACAAAAACGTTTTTTAATTGTAAAAGAGACAGTGATGTGTTTCCAGTTTTTATTTTATTTTTTTTGCACAATGGTGTCAAGACGTTTTGATGAACCATATTCTAAACCTACAAAAACTGTAATGAGTTACTGATTTTGAACTTTGATGGATCAAAGTGAGTGTAATCTGTATCATTTCCTCTGGCACCGTCGTTTTAATGTACTTGTGAAAAAAAAATGTGCTGGCTTGAAATTTCTTGCACCTAAAATGAAGTTATATGGGCCTTTTTTTAGGAGTTTAAGAAAGACAGTTGAAAGAGTGCGATATTAAAAAAGAAGCGAAAAAGTTAAAAAAAAAAGCATTGAGAAATGTAATATGCGTGTGTAGTTTAATACAGCGCTTCAAAATGAGGATCCATCAGATGTCTGTGTTCAAGTCTTGATTGAAGCAACTTTTAAAACCAATACAGAAAAATAGAAATGACACAAGTAAGATGTAACTTTTGCACTTTTCATTTGGAATATATTAAGTTTAGGCTTATTTTTAATTTTCTGTCTTTTTGATAGATGTAGTAAAAAGTATCAGGAAGTTTTCGGGGGGTCGCCAGCCAGACGCAAACCTGCATTACCCACATGAGCACCACAGCTACAACCTGTCAAGACTAGAAGGTCACGACCCCCAGCAGGTCACACATCTGTTTCTGTAAAAAAAAATGCTAATTAAAAATGATCGAAGCGAAAATATTTCCACCTCTTAAATGTATTATAAAGTGAGATTAAATATATCTTATATACTTAAAATAAAAAGACAAACTTTGATTATCAAGATCAATTCTTAAAAAAAAAAAAAAATCTGGTAGCCATTTATTATAATCAAACATTATAAAATATTCTATAAATTGTATTATAAATAGTTATAACTAGATTTTAAAGTAAAGCTTTGTCCGAAACCGCTCCCTATCCACTAGATAGTGCACTATCGGGTGTCAGCCATTTTGTAGAGCTGTCCGAATTCTGAGTGAACGACTTCATTCCCTACATTCACTTTTTACCCAAAATGCATTCTGATTTCGAGTGTACAACCGATGTACACTCGCTGAAGCACTATTTCCCACACTCCAATGCGGAGAACCGACGAGCTGGAAGAGAGAGCGGGAGCGTGCGAGTTTGAATGAGAGATGCTGTTTACGTCTTTATTATTTCTGTTTTATATTTATATCTTTTTTATATTTTATATATTTATATTAAAATATATTATGTAGGCATTAACTCAGTTTAATATATGATTAATTT